GACTCCGGGGGCCCGCTGGTGTGCCAGAAGGACGGCGCCTGGACCCTGGTGGGCATCGTGTCCTGGGGCAGCAGCACCTGCGACACGCAGACGCCCGGCGTCTACGCCCGTGTCACCGAGCTCCGCGACTGGATCGACTCCATCCTGGAGGCCAACTGAGCCCGGCAATAAACACCAATAAATGCTGCCACCCCTGAGCACCGTGTCCTTGTCCCCGCCGTGGGACGGGTGGGAGCAGGGCCGGGGACAGGCGGGTGGCTAAGACTGGTGTCTGGGGATGGGTGCGTGTGGTGTGCGGGGGGACATGGGGACACCTGGTCAGGAGGGCTGGGAGGCATGGGGACATCTGGGTGAGAACAGGGACAGGAATGGGGGCACAGGGACAGCTGGCTGGGAAAGGGGACAGATGGACAGTGGGTCATGGGAACACGGGGTCCTGAATGGGGACACCTGGCTGGGCATGGGGTCAGAGGACAGGGCTGCTTGTGGTCACACGGTTGAGCATGGGGACACCTGGCTGGGACGGCCCAGGCCCGGGCCATGTGGCCTCCCAGAGGGTGAGGGCCCCCTGGCCAGCTGCAGGGCCAGCTGAGCAGGTATGGGAACATGGGGCTGTGGGACAACTGGGAGGGCAAGGGCTATGGTGGGGGCGGTGACACGGCTCAGGCTGGGACCCTGCCCGGTGTGGGGATGTGACCACGGGCACTGTGGGATGGGTCCCCCTGGCAGGAACACACTCACGTGTCCGTCCCCGTGGCCGGAGCCACCTTAAGGTGTCCGTGTGGGGGAGGGACCAACAGCCAGTGGGGAGGGCAGGGCAGGGTCCTGGTCGTTCAGTTCCCGTGTTCCTGTTCTTGTCCGGTCCTGCCATGGCCCTGCGGCGGGTGCTGGCACTGGGGACAGCCCTGGGGCGCCGCAGCTGCTGCTCCAAGGTGGGGCCGGGGGTCCCCGAGGGCATTCCCGTCCTGCCGTGGCCACTGGGCCCCGTGCCCTTGGCTGTTGTGTGTGCCAGGGCCGCAGGCAGAGCTTCCCCAGCCCCTCCCTGACGGAGCCCTGGTCGTTCCCCCACAGCCCTCGCTGCCCCCCGACTTTGTGGAGGCCCTGAGCGCCGTGGTCGGGGCTCCCAACATCTCCACGGCCACGGCGGTGCGGGAGCAGCACGGCCACGATGAGTCCATGCACCCGTGAGTGCCCTCTGGGGCTGGGAGCCCTGGGGAAGGATCCCAGGGAGGGCAAGAGAGCTGGGGAGGGAAAGGGCCCCGAGGAGGGGGAAGTCATTTTGGCAGCGGTGCCCCTGTCCCCCAGCTGTGCCCCCCCGGACGCCGTGGTGTGGCCCCAGTCGGTGGGGCAGGTCCAGGAGTTGGCCGCGCTCTGCTACCGCCGCCGTGTGCCCATGGTGCCCTTTGGCACCGGCACCGGCCTCGAGGGCGGTGTCAATGCCGTGCAGGTATCGGCTCCCCGGCACCCCCTGACCCCCCAGGGGCTCTCGGTGCTCGGCTGTGCCAAGACCCACCGGTGCCCCTGTGCCAGGGCGGCGTCTGCTTCGACCTGAGCCGCATGGACAGCATCGCGGAGCTGAGCCTCGAGGACTTCTCGGTGACGGTGGAGCCCGGTGTCACCCGCAAGGCCCTCAACAGCCACCTGCGTGGCACCGGGCTCTGGTTCCCTGTCGGTACCGTGGGCATGGGGGGCCATGGGGTCACACCACTGAGGGTGCTGGCAGAGGGGATGCCTTTGGGCTGGGGATGCTGGGGGGTCCACGGGTCTGCCATGGTCCCTGAGTTGTAGCAGGGATGGCCCTAGGACTGAGAGTGCCATGGACCCAGTACTCTGGGGTCCACATGAGGCCTGGGTACTGGTGTCCCAAAGGTGCTGGAAGGGATGGGTTCCCAGGACCACCAAGGCTG